AAAGTACAAAGAAATCGCTCCTCAAAATAACATTTTTCAATAAATAATGTTCTCGATGAATGAATTATTTTAGTTATATAGTCACGGTTTTAATTTTGCTTAAATTATTAGCATTTAACAATAGTTGCAAATCTGAAAGTTTTTTATAAAAAATTCAATTATTGGAATGCGTTTAAGCACGAAAATTAGCGTGATAAAAAATTAGGCCTTAATGGAAAGTAACTAGTAGAGGTGCACAGTTGCAGTTCTCTTTGTAATGTCTTAATCTATCAATGATTTATTCATAGCAAATGGCAGGCCTTGTGATAGTTATCCTTAGCCTTTTAGTTGACTTCGGGCTTCACAGAGGGGAGGAGGAACATCAAAGTCACAAAAAGTTGATGGGCGGGCGGGGGGGGGGGGAGGAAAGAAAACAGAACGGTGATTCACAGATGTAAGAGAAACAGATGTAAAGATGGAAAAAAGGCAAGGCGATTAATGCGCAAGTGGTCGAATACGACGTACAGTCAGGCCATGGTAGTTTGAAGTTAGAAAACAACTGCCGATTTATTGGCTCTTTTTACCGTATGAGTATACGTTGCCCCGGGGTGTACTACGTGGCGATAAGTCTATCGATCGCCTCATCTTCCAAAGATTGAGTTCAATAATTTGACTCTTAGAGCCATTGATTTGGAATCCAGAGATTTCTAAAGGGTTGATTCGATTGGGTGGATGCCTAGTTAGGAAAGGAAAATTTACTCGAAATCCATAATTATACACGAGCTATTTTTAAGCAGAACGACCTCCGAGGTATATTCCAATTAATAAATTGCACGGTAACAAAAGATACGCACCCATGATTTTATATGAGATTTATATTTCCCTGTTGTCTTTAATTATTGGGATGAGGGCGTTGCCAAGGTTAAATTGTCGAATTTCAATGCGAAAATGTGGAAGTATTTTCCATGCAATAAAAAAATAAAATTCGCCTCGGCTATCAATATTGACTGATATTTAGAATGAGTAGGATCTACGCGAGCGCAATACTTGAAGCCACTCTTGTCACAAGATTAGTTTGGTGGTGTTCCGGAAACCACCCTAATCGATGTGTTGATTCTCATTCATTTTAGTATCAGTGTAGAGCCACGTACTCAGTTAGAGTGCAGCGGTTGCTGTAGTCCAGATCTTGTCGTCAATCAATTTTATCTGATCACCGTTCGCCGTCCTAGAATGTAGTACCCGTCGAAATTTCGATTGGGAACACCAAGCAACCCCCTTTTCGTCATTGACGATGTTTTCTTGTATCCTCGACTTTTTTCCAGTTATTTCTGAAAGATATTTCCCAATTCTCCTAGGCACAACTATAAATTGTTTCGGGATATTTTCTGCATGTCGATAAGCTATATTTGAGGCGACCCAATTAAGTAGCAAAATAATGAATTTGGTTTGGAATTTACCAGCAGAAAGAAGTCCAATCATTCACCCCTTTTGCTTAGATGGCTTCGATTTAACCTATGAGAAAGGTACCAACCCAACAAGTTACTTTAGACATATTGGTTAGTGGACCTCGGACAAGCTAGGTTAATCAGATCGTGAGCAAATAAAAAAAATCTTGGTATGCTTTGACTTTCCCGTTCAGCATCCGATTCTCCTTTGCATATTGTACCACAAAGTAATGTTGACTCTATTCTCTGTTTTCTTTATGACCTTTTTCCCTTGAGCATTTGTTTGAATTGCTGTTATACAATGCCTGACTCTCTTCAAAACATTTTCATCTCTCACGTGGTTAATCAAAAAATATTCTAGATGGATTGCAAGGACCCCGAATGGCAAACACGTTCAATTCTTTGCATGCCAATTCGACACACTGATGGTCGTGTTCTCGGTGTTTGTCAGCTTGTCAACAAGTCTTCCCTCCTCTCCCCACCCTCTTCTAAGGGCCAAGAGGGGACTGAAGCAGCATGGCAACCCGAGGAGACATGGTCTGGCACTTTCTCACGAAACGAGGAGGCTCTTTTCGAAGCCTTTGCTCTTTTCGCTGGTCTTGGAATAGCCAATACCCAAATGTATGAGCAAATCCGTCGTGCAGAGGCCAAACAACGAATTGCCTTCGATGTTCTCTCTTATCATGCAACGGCTGCTCCTAATGAAGCTGCCGCCCTGGCTAAAGAATTGGTGCCTTCCTCCAAGTATTATAAACTCACCAAATTCTACTTCACTGACTTGAAGTAAGTTTGCTCCACTTTGTATTCCTATACTTATCGCTGTCTGTTATCTCAAATTGTACTTCTTTTCGCATTCCTAACACTTTGATTTGAGTATGGCTTCTTTGCGTTATGAAGGGTGTTTGCTTGGAAATTGATTGTAGCATTTAACTGGCAGAAGTTATTCGACCTTTTAAATATTTAAATTTTTTTTAGTTTTATACTAGATAAACCTTCCTCTTTTTAATCAGGCATTGAAAATAGTCCGTGTTCTAGCACCTGTCTATATTGCAGTCATTTGGTGAGAATGTTGACAAACGCTGTCACATTTGAGACGAAATAATGTCAACTAGAGTGCGTGTGGTGTATTTAAACGCGACATATTCGACTTAAACAAATAGCATCTATGTTCATTTGAAATTTATTCCATTTTTCAACAATGCGAAATTATTAATTTAATAACATTTTCTGCGATTTTGATGGTCGAAGGCTTTTTCCCTCAAAACCCAATTTATCTAACAACACTCACCTAGATCTTACTCGATCCTGTCAATATAAATGTTGTCAAAATAATGAGGTGCAATTAATCCTTTAACGCCCAAATTAGTTTTTTGAAACATGCACCCAACCGTACTCACGCGTGTCTTCCAGCATACTGATTTCGCCGACCTGATGAGTTTAAGTGGTATCAAGCGAAAGCTATAGAAGCATTAAACATGTTTCAAACAGCCTATTTTGAAAGATGACTGCACTATCCTAGGGTCGTTTAAGGGTTAAGTGATTGGGATTGTGCTATTCGTCGATTCTATGCAATCACCAATGATTGATATCTGTCTGAGATAGATTACTTATTACCAGCCACATTTCTGGATTGATTTTCCTTACTCTGACCACTAATTAAGTGATAATAAATAGTAAATATTAATTATTCTAAAGATACACTGTTTCTCCTTTACCCATACGGCTCTTCTATGAAGGTAATATAATAATGGAATGCGCCAAGATATTCCATTCATCTATTAAAGTCAAATAATCTTTTTTGTTGATTTGTTTGTTTAAACTAAAAAGTGAACAGTTGGTTAATGTTAAGTGCAATTTTACATTCGATTAATGCCTCAGCCTTTTTTCCTTTGATTCTTCCTACATTGGTCGGATTTCTTTTGGTGAATGTGTTGGTAGATGAGATATTCACAGTAATGTCTAATGTGACTTTTTAATAAGAGAGGGAGGGGGAGAGAGTGAGGGAGATTTAATTCTTTGCTGACAAATGACACTTCTGGAAAGCCGACCGACTTTGGATAAAAATAGCCTGCAAAGCCCCATGGTTCTCACAACTTTCGTTGTCGGGCATAATAAATGCTATCTTGAGCTAAGTTTAGTCCACGCTATGAATTTTTGTCATGTTCAAAAAACCAATTACTCAATATTATTTATTTATTTATATCAAATGGTAGGAGTTTTGATAGTTATCATTAGCCCTTTAGTTGACTTCAAGCTTCAGTGAAAGTTATCATTAGCCCTTTAGTTGACTTCAGGCTTCGCGGAGAAGGAGGAACATCAAAGTTAAACAAGTCGAGAGGGAGAGGGGAACAGAAGAGAGTTTCAAAGATGTAAAAGAGACAGACGCAAATTTGGAAAAGGTGGGGTGAGTAGTGTGGAAGTACTCGAATATGACATACAATGGGGTGGGGGTAGTTTGAAGTCAGAGATCAACTGCCAGTTAATAGACTTTTTTGCCGAATGAGTATACGTTGCCCAGAGTGCACCACGTGGAGGTAAGTCTATCGCACACCCCTGTTCAGAAAATTGATTCACAATAAATTCTGCCAATTAAGTTCCAAAATAATCCAATATTTAACAAATTTATTTCTGCAAAACCATTATTACGTTCCTTTTACAGTTTCCGACAGATATATGGAGTCCATCACACCGATTGAGGTAATGACATTTCTTAGAAATTGGAGTTATTACTGGTCTAAAAAGAGGCGTTAAAAAAGTAAATCACGTTCCCTTTGCCATTTTATAGTATTCAGTGACGAATTCAACACTTGCATCGAAATTTACGCTAACTTATGAAATTGCTCATGATGATGCACAATCCTTTCTGGTGGTGGTGATTGAAAAGCGTTGGATAAATTTGCAATATCTTCATATTCGTCTTTTCTTTTCCCACTTTTGGGGATATTTTTGGCCAGTTAGTTGGGAATGCATCAGTGCAGGTGTGCAGGCAGACAATGCGCGTAAAAATTCATCCATAGATTTGAGTTACTTAACTCTCGGAGGTGTTACTGTCGCCCGTTATTTTGATGGCAAGGAAAAACGAGGGAGAACATTGAACTTTGAACTCAACCAAATTCAGCTGTGAAAAAAAATGATTGCACAGTCCTCCGATTTTTTGAACAGACTCAAGTCTGGCATTCTTGACAGAGCTGGTGATTCTGATATGCCACCTAATTATAAACCAGTTACCTTGAGAAGAAGGAAATACAACTGATTACGGATTGCTTGTCATTACTCTTTTTAGTCTATCGACAGAGGAAACAGTGAAGGCGGTTCTTCGAATGTTCTCAGATTTGGGACTCATTTGCCGATTCCGAATCGACTACACTTCACTCTGTCGTTGGGTACTTTCTGTGAAGAAAAATTATCGGGCCGTGACCTATCACAATTGGAGACATGCTTTTAATGTGGCGCAGACTATGTTCGCTATGTTCAAGGTAGGATTACTTTCGATGACCTAGAAGGTCACCCCTATTTGATCGTTGGTTTTTTTTTGGAATTAATGGTGTTAAATTTATTATTTTGATTATTATCAATTAGAAGCTATCCGTCAGGCTCATTTCATTTTTAAGTTATTCTCGTTAAACTCTGGAGCAGTTCAATATTTAACCACCATATACGATTAAATCGTAAGCCTTATTGTTTCCAAAGTTAATTAGTAATTAAATAACTAAAAGGCATTTCAATGTCATGTTCTGTTCTGAGTGAAAGGGGTAACTTTAATGCGTATGGCGAAGAGCTATCATATCCTCTGGAATTCCAATGACAAAAATCCTAGTATGGAAAGGCTCTCGCAAGTAATTGAGTTGTCTCCATAGGATAGAAATGATCACAGTATAGACAGCATGCCGTTTATTGAAATTCTATAATTATAGCAAATGTTATCAATATTTCAATCCATTTAGCATGACTTTTAGTGTCCTTAATAGCTGTGGCTGGTTAAGATGTCTTCTGCACGCACGGCCGCTCTCTCCAGAATGTTCGTTTCTCAGGTTAATCGTGTTAGCAGTGCGAACTCCACATTAGTTACCCTTTCCAATAACCTAATGACAGAAATAAATGCTTCTTAAACCAATATCTTTCAACCAACATCTCGGAAAGTGTTTTGTCAATGTTTAGTGAATGCTATGAAAATTTTGCAGATTTAATAGCTTTCTTGTCTACATTGTCGTGCCTTATACCTTTTTAATTGAGTGCCTTGAATTTTATTAGCCTTTGCCGTGAAATTGCGGATAAAATCGATATCCTTTCAATCGGTTTTCAATTTAGACTTTCCCCATCATGCTTTGACGTGGTATTGATTTATTCCTCTATCTTAAAGTTTAACAAAGGCGTGTTTTACTGATATTTTAGCTTTAAATTAACAAGGCTTGTTTAACATGCCGACTTTTAGCCGTTCTGGATATCCTTAATCACTTATTGCCTATTTCACCTTGATTTTAAAAATGTTAATAAATATGTATATTTTTTCATCGTACATGCTAATAAGATTGTCGTTTAGCTTATTGTGGATATGATCAGTTATTATTTATTTATTTATATCAAATGGCAGGCGTTTTGATAGTTATCATTAGCCCTTTAGCTGACTTTGGGCTTCACAGAGGGGAGGAGGAACATCGAAGGTCAAAAGTCGAGAGGGAGGGCAGAATAATGATTCATAGATGTAAAAGAGATAGACAGACAGAAACAAGGGCAGGGAAAAGGTAAGGTGAGTAATGTGGAAGCGGTCGAATATGACATACAGTGGGGTGGGGGTAGTTTGAAGTCAGAGATCAACTGCCGATTAATAGACTTTTTTGCCGTATGAGTATACGTTGCCAAGAGTGCATCACGTGGAGGTAAGTCTATCGCACACCCCTGTTTAAGTAAATATGAACTGGATGAGAATAAATCTGAATTTGGATATGATCAATTATTATTAAAAGTCAGGCAAGGCTCCTCTCAACTTACTCGCATTTTCTAGGCCTTAGCGCAAATGCTGCAGTTGCATGCTTAAAGAATTATTGTTTAATTTAACCTCATTACTTCTTGGCATGACAAAAATTTTCAAAGAAGTGGGTCAAAATGTTGGCAAATGTTATTGGGGAAGGCGAAGGAGATGCATTTTGCCTTTCAACATTGGGAAAAAAATAATGTGCTTTGCTCGAGTATTGACTTCA